GCAACCCTCGCCTTTTAGTTGTAAACATATAAAATGGCAGGAGAATTAAGTAATGGAGGAAGGGGTTGTTGTACATTTCTGCTATTATTTTTGTGTAGTGTGAGCTGGTGAGGCAGTATGAGTCAAGAAGGATGAATTTGCAGTTGGTGATCCAACAGGAGCAAATAGGGCCCAAGAGAGAGATCAAGTAAGGAAATTGGCACGTGGAAATAATTGCAGGTTTTGGAGATCAGAACAGGTATCAGTGAAAATAGTTCGACAGTGGTGCTGAAATCCAAGGGGCTCAAAAAAGTATTGTGTATTTCCTTCTTCTCATTCTCCTCCTTAGGACAGAACTGTCCCTAGAATTGAAAGCACAGGAAGAAGAAGCTGCATGAATGAGGGAATGAAACAGTTAATATCCCTTTGAAATTGTCTGTATAGCACTGTGTATGTATAGTTTGTTAAACTAAGGCCACTGGATATATTAAATATCATTATAAATGCAAAATGTATGTACTTGTAAGTAAAATTCCTGTCCCTTTGCCCCACCTTCTGACAAGGGGTTAAACATAAAGAGTATGGCAAAGCAGACTGTTGCATATTTGCCAGTGGGGGAAATTGAACTATGGAAAAACAAAATAACATTAACATTAAGTTCAGTAAATGAATCTTCTCCCACCATGTATGGAAGAAATATTAAGGTTTGTATTTAAATAGAAGCTCTCCAGCATTATTATGGAGGTCAATATGCTGACTCTGTAAACTTCTTGGAGAAGCTGTAAAGCACTATAAAGTGCTATATAAGTCTAAGTTCTATTGTAAGTCCTATTATAATTCCAAAATGAATCTTGTAATGCTAGGCCAATTCATACAACTGTGAAGGAGATCAGGCAACAACTGCATATTATGAAGAGCCTTCCAAGGTGCAAATATTCCAGCATATAATTAAAGCAAATCTATTAATTAGAGTCAGGGACTGAATGCCATCCATCATTCATAATGGTTACATTCTTATTTTGTCACATAATTCCAGCTGCCAAAGGAGCAGAATTTATTCTGCCAGCCTATTTTTAAGCCATGTTTCCCAGCTAGTCTCTGAAGGAAGTAGATAATGTTATTGGATCACTTGAATTGCAACCTGCCTGCTGGAATTTTCTCTCCCTCTCTCTGGCTTGGGTCAAAAGAGTTTCTAATTATCCTATCCCAGAATGGGTATTTTGCAGCCTGCAGGCACATCTGGCCCTGTCTGGCCAGCGGCAGCAGCGAAAGGATAGTGGCAGTGGAGGAGCAGCAATGGTAGCAGGGGCAGAGGCAGTGATGGGGGAGTGTGAGCCTGCCACAACACACCCAGTTTTCATGTGGCTCCTTGGGAAAATCAATTGTACAGCCTTGCCCTATTCTGTCAATAATTTCTGAAATTAACCTCTCTCTGCAGCAGATGAGAAATAAGGAGCTGTCTGGGGAGCTGACCAGTTCCAACACACACAGGAAATCGGAAGTCATTCATTTTCCCCCTTTTCTTTAATTTCTGCACCTTTGTCTTCACTCTTTTCTTTCTTCTTTCATTCTTTGTTTTCTTTAGTCTACATATTAGTTCTTGTTAATTTTTATTTTGTATTAAAATTATAATAAAATTTATATATAAAAATGTTGCCAAAGTTGGGAAACATTGCTCTGGGTATACAATATTATTATAATAATAATAATAATAATAATAATAATAATAATAATAATAATAGTGATGATGATGATGATGGTGGTGGTGGTGGTGGTGGTGGTGGTGGTGATGATATTTTGAGAACATACCACAGCCAAAATCTAAAACCCCAGCTACAAGTACTTTCTATTAATTCAAAAATGTATTTCCTAGGGAGGTGTGTGTGTGTATGTGTGTGTGCGCACATGTGTAGTTCATATTTAGTCAAACTGGTGGAGAACATTCAGGAACTCTTAGAAGAAATAGATTATCTAGATCTGTTCCCCTTCCAGTTTGGATCTGTCTTTGTCACAGAAATGATTTTGGTCACCCCAATGGATGAACTGCACTGGGAGAGAAAATGAGAGAGTAGTAGGCTCAGATGTCTCAATAGACTTGCTGGTATTGACAGTAGCATCCTTTTGCAGTTCCTGAAGGAGATGGAAATTAGAGACCTGTCTTGTGTGGTTCTTAACTCTTTGGGTGTTAGCCAGTTTGGGTGACAACATGGGAGACATAATGGAACTTTGCAGGAGCCCTAGAACAATGCCCAAGAAGGAAGAGAAAGACCTCGAAGTGAGGAGATCTCACCAGTTCCAGTTGAAGAAAGAAGAAAATGGAAAAGAAGGTTTAAGGCCTGAGGACAAAAATGCTCATTACTGCAAGGCAAAGAGAATTATTGATTAAATATGTTTCAGCGGCCATCTCCCAAGATCATCCAGAAATCAGGCCAAGTGTCTTTTAATTCTGAAGAGTAGGAGAAAAAAGCCCAAAGTGTAAACTCTTGGGCAGAGATAAAGTATATACAGCTTGTAATTGCTTTTTACTGCAGTGGACAATCCACTGTTATTGAAAATTCATTTTAGCTTGCAGTAAAGATTTTAATCAAATTTGTGATTCCTTGATCAAGTTTTCCTGGGAGGTAAATTTAGGACTAAGTAAATGGAAATCTGTGATTTACTGTTGAGCCCAGATATGAAGCCTGATCTCATGCACTGGGAGAAGTTTAGAGAATAGCTTTATATGTGCTCTTTGTAGTTGCTCAGCACTCTTGAAAGATAGTTGTGGATTTTTGTGTTTGTTTCTCCTTGGCAAGTTCATTGCAGTTTGAAAGTTATGGCTGTCAGTTCTGAGAAATCACTCATCTCTCTCTCTCTCTCTCTCTCTCTCTCTCTCTCTCTCTCTCTCTCTCTCTCTCTCTCTCTCTCTCTCTCCCTCCCTCCCTCCCTCCCTCCCTCCCTCCCTCCATCTCTATTATATCTGCTTGTAGAATGTCCTAGGTCAGAGGTCCCCAACCTTTTGGCTACCAGGGACGGGTTCCATGGAGAGAGGTTTTTCTGCAGACTGAAGGGTGTGTGGTTTTGTGTGCTGCCTGCATCTTGCAGATAGTACTTTGCTTGTTTGTGCAGCCTGATTGCTGGCATGCTGAGGCCCAGTACTGATCCATGGACTGGGGGTTGGGGACCCTTGCCCTAGGTTCAAACTAGAGTACCAACATTTTAAAAAAAATGATGAGGTAGCAGGTAAAAATAAGGTTTGATATGAACCTAAGGGCATTTACAGAGTGGTTCCACTTTATAAAACAATTAAATCACCTAGTCTGGCATCAAAGAACCTTCACTCTTGTTAGATATCATGCTTCATAAAGCAACTTCTAGTTTTGATTCAGACCTTTAACATTATAACAGTTCGGAGACTGGTGTGAACATCTCTTGGCTATTAGGATCAAAACATGAGGAGAAGGCTTCAATGTTTGGTCTAAAGATGAGTCTGAGATTCAAACCTGAGGCCCGAGTCACAAGTAGATTTTTGAAGAATTGGATAGTATCTCCACTGTCCTTTGAAAAATTCCTAGCCAATTCTAAGTTTTGATATAGAAAAGGGAGAAATAATTGGATAAATGGGAAGTGATCATACAAAATGCAATTTAAACATATTTTTATCTTGGAAGTTATATCTTGTTTGTCCCATTTTTTCTGAATGTCACTCAAAGATTAAGTGTGGCCTTCAGCCCAAAAAAGGTTACCCAACCCTATGTTACGATTTAAAGCTCTCTTTTCTGTTTATAGGCTACTCTCCTGGAGCAAATACAGTATGTGTATAACAAGTGTTTTTTTTAAGCCCCTTCTCACAAGTGATCAGGCAAGAATTCTCAAGGGGTCAGTGAGCATTTATCATTACTCATCTTTCCATATACCATATTAAGACCTACACTAGACATGTACAAAAGAGCATACAGTATACTCATCTCATGTCCTTAACTACATAGATCTATTTCCTTGTTTTCGTAATATTTACCTCAGTGCACTTATTTCAAAAATATCTAATTCCAAGCAAGCTATTAATTAATTGTATAAGAAAGGAGAAGTCATAGATATTTATTTATTATCAAATTTATATAACCACCCATCTCATATATGTATCTCTGAGTAGCATACACAGTTTAAATAAGACAATTAAAACAATTAAAAAGCATAAATAATACTCAAACCGTGGAATACATTCAAAGTCCTAAGTACAATATAATAATTTTGTGGGGTTCCTATTTACATGGAATCCCCACGTTTGCTGATAAAACCAGGTTTAAAGAGATTTCAAGAGGGTCAATGGAGTTAGGCCTATCTCATTTTAATAGTGGTGGTGGTGGCAATAGAGTGATTATAAGCCTGAGTTAACTGGAGGAAAATAAAATATTTCAAGCTTTTGATTTGGAATAATCAGAATAGTTTAAGTACAAAAAACCAAGAACCAATTCCTCCTCATAGCGATCAAGTATGTTTCCAATATTTTTCCTTTAATTAGGATCACTCCTTTCTATCTCCTTGGTTATACCTTTCTGAGAATTCCCAGAAGATTTAAAAACAATCTTATAGATATAAGAGTTCCACAGATTTCAATGTAAATTGAATATAGGGCCAGATTCTTTTTTCTCTCCAACTTAAGAAACACAATTTGAAAATCAATAAAGTTTAAAAAAAAATCCACAAGGTTTTCTATATATGTTACTATGATGCTTCTAAAGCAGGCATTTCAAACTCACGACGTCATGTGATGTCGTGTGACATTGCCGGCAATGGAGTGGGCACGGTTTCAGCGTGACGCATCCGGCCCACAGGCTGGCAGTTTGGCATGCCTGATCTAAAGTGAGAGATATAGAATTGATTTTATTATTGAGCTATGTTCTGATTTTTGTTGCAGTGCATAGCTGTATCTAAATTTCTGAAATTCTTGAACATAAAAGCCAACATTACATGTTATGATGTACATCAGAATAAAATAGTAACAATTCACATAATGATTGAATAATAAACATAGCACTTGCCTGGAACAAAGCTTCCCTGGACCACCTCCTTATAAGCCCACCAGCCTTCATGGATTTTTGGTGAATTCTGCTGAGCTAAAGAAAGAAAAACAAAACAATAAAAACAGAGCAATATTTTTTTAATTTTCATGATACAACAGCTCTTAGTCTTCTATATAACATTGTCTACACAATACAAAATAGGTCAAAAAGTTTTGTATAGCTTCTAGAAGAGTTGATGGAGGCCATGCTCTAATTCTTAAATTGGATAGCAAGTCTTGTTTGTATCAATGAGGCTTATGTACAAAGAGAATCTCAAAAGTAGTCTTCAAAGACCTATTTTTCTTTGATTTAACAGCTCTCAATAGACTACTGAAAGCTATTACCAAAGTGCAACAAGATACAAATTCATGATGTATTGACAAAAGCAAATACTAATCTGCCCAACACAAGCACGCAGACAAACCAAGAGTGGGAGATAATTAATCAATGGAAATGGTACCCCAAATTTTGATCTTCAATCAATAAATAATGAGAATGCACAATAAAACATTAGATGTTCATTTTAAAGAACATAAATTTCTGAATCTAAACCAAGCATTTATCAAAATTGGATAGATTTATATACTGACTTTATCTTTAAAGAAACTGCAATTTTGTAATAAAAGAAATGTTCTATTTCTCAAATCAATATTATTGACTTGTATATGATTCAAAATTTCAACATCCCCCACCCCAAAAATCCTGAGATTATTGCAACCAATATATTATATCTATCTATCTATGAATGTTCCTATGCTGGGGTCCTTAATGTTCACCAAGTTGGGTTTCCTGTTGGAAACACGTTATTACTAAACTAAATAACATCATTACTGCTCTATCTCCAAAGTCAGAAAAAAAAATAACCTAGCAATTCAATTCTTAGCTATGTGAATTTATCGCTATTATTCTTATGATCTGTTCATATGGAACTTTGGGTGGATTTAAGAAATTGAAAAGCTGTCTGATTGGCACGGTTCTCATTGAGTGTTCCAGAATACTCGTTAAAAATGCAAGACACAAATTAAATATGTAAAATAAATACAGTATTGACTTTTGAGCCCGACTGGTGAGCTATAAATGCTGATATCATGAGCAGAGTGTGACAAAAAAATCATAGTGAAATGAATGCTTCCATTTTGTTATTGTAATGTTAATGAATGACCATAGTGGTGCAGTGGTTAGAATGCAGTACTGCAGGCTACTTCTGCTGATTGCCAGCTGCCAGCTGTTCAGCAGTTCAATTCTCAATGGCTCAAGGTTGACTCAGCCTTCCATCCTTCCCAGATTGGTAAAATGAGGACTCAGATTGTTGGGGGCAACATGCTGATTCTGTAAACTGCTTAGAGAGGGCTGTAAAGCACTGTGAAGCAGTATATAAGTCAATGTGCTATTGCTATTGCAGTTAAGTACCATCAGCCTTCTCCTACAGCCAGTACAGGCAGTCCTTGACTTACGACCATTTGTTTAAAGATTGTTTGAAGTTAAATGGCACTGAAAAAAGTGACTTACAACCAGTCCCCACACTTATGACAATTGCAGCATCCCCATAGTGAAATGATCAAATTCAGGTGCTTGGCAATTGGAATGTATTTAGGGCAGTTGCAACATCCTGGGATCATGTGATTGCCATTTGCGATCTTCCCAGCTGGCTTCTGACAAGCGCAGTCAATGGGGGAAAGCTGGATTTGCTTAACAATTGTATTAACAACTACTTAACAATCCTGCCCCCCCCCCAAAAAAAAGATTATAAAATTGGGCCCGACACACTTAACAACTGCCCAGCTTAGAAACAAAACTTCTGGTTCCGATTGTGATTGTAAGTCAAGGACTCCCTGTAATGTCACATAAGTGCAATGTTAAAGAAAACTCATAGCACTGCAATGAATGGCACATTCTAAACTAGGAAATGTTAATAACTGCTAAAGAAAAGAATTGCGAAAGAATCACTCTTTGACCTGTGTGTCAGGCATTTGTCTTAGATCATACTACAGGTAAGAACATAGATTTATCTGTTCTATCCAGCTCTGTCTGGAATGTTTTTCCTATATTTTCAAATAAATATTAAAAATCAACCTTTTCCCCAATCTTTCTGCAAATTGGCTGCATAATAGCAATCAGCACAAAAATATAGTTGATTGTTAGAAGGTGGAAAAGAAATACAGAGAAGTCTGTTCTCATCTAGTACTTGCCTAGTTTTTACAACCCAGATATAGTAGCCATAATCACTATAGACTATTATCTTACTGACTCTTGAACCTTTGGAGGAAAAACAAAGGGGCACATGCTTAGTTCTCACTGTTTTGTATTATAAGTGTTGTTTTGAAATTTGGTCAGTTGCAATATAGCCAAGCTTGAGTGTCCCGTGAACATCTCTAAATGTTACTATTGTTATTCAGAGTTAAAACCAGGATTGTAAACCAGTTATCTGCTGAAAACCTCCATCCTGTTTAAAAAAAGAAAAATTGGGGAGATTATGTCATTAGGTTTCTCAAAAAGGGAGAGAAATTCTCTAGCAATGTTTGTACTAACTACCAGGGCATAGGATAATTTGACAATATCACAATTTTTATATATGTTCCTTAAAATATTTGTCTTTCAATTATTTATTAATTACATGGGACAACATTTTCCATCCTTCTTCTTAAATCTTCCTGAAAATATATACACATAGAAGCAAACCAAATTATAAAATAAGTAAAACTTTTACTCTGCAATACATGTAACTTTTGAGAGGGAACACCTAAAGCATATAAAACTTTTTACCTTTTTCTTTTATGTAACACGAAGGTCATTTAGTGAACAAAATACCTGCTTTCAAGGGTATTTTTGCTGAACAAGAGAAGTAAGATTATCAAGTTTTGTGCTAAATGATGCATGACATTGAACTCTATTAGAAAAAAGGTAATTCTGTCAGGGCCATTATACTTATAAAATCCTTATGAGGTCAACAAGCATCAAATTGACTGTAGAAAAAAAAACCCAAACAGACAGTAAACAGGCAGAAAAACATTACATACTGAATCCTAAATCACACTAGCTTGGCAATATGAGATACACATGAATTTACTAAAAGGCATACATATATCCTATAGTTAAGTCAGATGGCACATGTTCTCAATTAGTGTGCCAGAGATCTAAAAGTCACTTAAAATATGATGGAGGAAGAATAAAATGTACTGTCAGGGCTTGTCTTGAATTACAGACTAGAGCAAGAGAACTAGAGCGCAAGGTATCTGCATGTAGTATTGAAAAGCAAATGAGAAAGCAGATCCCAGGGTACATCATTGTCTTTAAGAAAACTGCACATGAAAAGCATGACTGATACAAATTTGCACTGCGCCAATGTTTTAAAATGAATTCTGATACACCAAGCAGGATTTGACAACATTTCATTTTTCAGACAGACAATGAAAGGGTTGGGGTGCCATGCGAGATAAAAGGTTTCTCCCACCATACACTCTCTCTTCCCATTTGAGTAGTGTTTGTAAATTGTGCAAAGAAAGTATCCTAATCCACAAAGCTGGATTAGCAACTGACAGCTCGAAAACAAAGGGCTGTGAAATTAAAATGAAGCTGCCACAAAATGTTTCTTGTTCAGCCTCCAGTGTGGCCCACACAGCACAGGAGGGCTGTGCTCTTTAATCTCTTGCCCATCTGACAACATGGCACAATGCCTGCCTGCATTCCAAGGAAATCCAACCTTACAATTGGGCTGCTGGTGCCAATGGCCAAGAATGGCTTTAAAAATAGACAGCTCAAATTGTACTGCCCATATCATAATTCCCTCTCATGCCAGCAGAAAATGCAGCTATGACCAAATTGTACACAGCCATCACATTTGAATAAGCAAAGGAAGCATGTCCAACTGCATTATACAAATAGCAATTCGACTATAACTGCTTGGAGAAATATACCCGTCCCACAGGGTTGCATCAAACTGATGACTCCATTGTAGAATGAAGTCTTTAATGAGCTCTGCCACACACTTTAACGATTTTTCCACTTTGTCCTCACCATCCATGAATTGCAAACACATTTAGCATCCAGCTGAGCTCACAGAGAAAAGCTTTAGCCAGACTCTGCTCAACCCCAGTTAAACACTAGCTGAAGCTATCAACTAACCAGCACGATTTCTCTGCCCCAAATTCATCAGTCATTGAATTTGCCTCTCCTTTCCCCAAAACTTGCAAAACTCCATGAAGAAACAAAAACCCTCAACACATTCAATTCATGTTGGTACTATTCTAGCAATGTGGCACAGTGTCCCACAAATTCCAAAAAGCCTGCAAAGCTACATTTGAGGGCTTTCTCAAGTAACAGTCTGTTCAGGAAGAAATGAAGGGCAGCATATCTGAACAGCGTGCAAGTTTTACCTACAGAAGAAGATAGAAATGGAAGGACATTGATTCTCCATGAGGGTTAAGGAAGGAAGTAATAAGATTCTGCATAACATTACTAGTGCTTTTTAATCAACATGATATGATGGTGTACCACAGCAGACACAAAGTAAAATCATTTTATGATTCAATAACTACAAGTAGATTATTTATTTGTTTGTTTAAAATTTTATGCTACTTACTATGCTGGGACCTCACTGGATAGAAGAGGGGGTAAAGTAGTGGGAGATTGGGGGCAGCAGGCTGGTGGATTGCACTGCCCTAGACATTGGCAGTGGGGACATCTGAAGGGAAAGAGGGAAAAGAATCAACCATTCAATTTTTATTATGGTCATAGTCCAGCAAAGAGGGAAAAGGGAGTGCTGGAAGAAATGGCAGACCAGCCAGCAAAACTTGGTATGCTGGGAAGGAATGAAGGGAGGCTAGAATAGAAAAATGACATGGATCTACTTTACCTCTTCATCTATCTAGGTTTTATTTGTTCTGAAACTTCAAACTACTAAAGCAATCTAGATTTTATTTCTGCTAAAGTGTGACTAACTGAAAAGAGTTTTGTAGAACCTGTGGAATGTGATAGTTTCTTTTAGGTTTGAAACAACAACAACAACTTTGTGCACTCCTAGTAAAAGGAACCATTAATGGACTGTCAACATTGCT